TGTGGCACTTTTCACTCAAAGATTTCTCCCTTCACTCTGCAGCTACTTGGGCTGTTCTTAGCTCTTCCATCCAGTAAAACCATTGATTTTTACTTGAGTTTTTGCCACCTAGTATTGTGAACATGGGACCTTTCCAGTGATGCAAGGTCTTTTCCTTCTGGACATACACATTTTTCTGCCTTACTGTTTATTAGTGGTTGCTTAGATTCAATGAAAGCTTGGACGTCAAGTTATTCTTCAGGCACTGCTGGGATATATATTTGATACACTGGGTTTAAACCACATTATCACTATCCATATTTATGTGTATGTTGAGAGACAGAGAGAGAGAGAGAGAGAGAGAGAGAGATAGAGAGAGAGAGAGAGAGTTAGAAAATTTTTAGCTTTTATCTGTAGGAGTTTTGCTTCAACACAGATGACACAATTTTAAAAAGGAGAGCCGAGGGTTCATGCTTAAAATCCCCGCAACTTGGAAGGCTGAGATAGAGGACTGTGAGCTTGAGGCTAACCTGGGCAACTTATTAAGACTCTGTCTCAAATAAAATAAAAATTAAAAGAAAAGAAGACCTGGGAATGTAGCTCAATGCATATGATCTGTGATGCCATGGGTTCAATCTATATTTCTTTAATGTTTTCACCATTGCAAACCAGACTGTGGGATGTTGGTGACACCCACTACCAAAATAATTTCAGCTTCTATGAATGCGCCATAGCATTGGAGGAAGAAAATGTATTATAAATATGTCCCAATGAATACAGTGAAAATTTAGTGAATTTTCTGAATATTTGCCTCACTATAGAAGAATTTCTATTTTCCCCCTGATTTGAAGTTACATATTCCAAGATTGTGTAGTTAAAGAATATATTATAGAAAAATATTATTTTATAAACCATATATATATATTCTAATCTCTGATATAAAGTGTGACCATAACTTTGTTGAATGTTTGCATAAAAATATTTTGGTAAAAGAAACATTGTCATCAATGTCCCTAAAATACTCCCCCTGGCTTTAGGGTTTTTTGTTTGTTTTTTTTTGTTTTTCTCCGGTACCGGGAATCAAACTCATGACCTTGCACTTGCCAGGCAGGCGCTGTGCCGCTGAGTTAAATGCCCAGCCCCATCCACCTGGCTTTAAACACATTTACCTCATCAGTCTTTTTTTTTTTTTTTTTTTGGTTTTTCTCCGGTACCGGGAACCGAACTCACGACCTTGCGCTTGCCAGGCAGGCGCTTTTGCCGCTGAGCTAAATCCCCAGCCCCAAACCCTACCTCATCAGTCTTGCTGAAGCAGTTCTGGAAGTCTTTGCGAGAGCATTTAATTGCATTGTTATGCATGCGTTGATGTCCTGAATTAATTCAAAACCTTTACCTTTGGGATCCTTTTGACTTTGGGGAGGAGCCAGAAGTTGCATGGTGCCAGATGCAGGGAATAAGGTGGATACGGAAACACTGTAATTTTGATTTGGCAGAAATTGCCATACCACAAGGGGTGTGAGACACGAATCATATTCGACCATTTTGCATGCACATCGTTGTTCAAGTGCTCCCATAACCCCTTCCAGTGTTCACTCACGCTAGGGTTCCTGGGCACAAACTCAGCTTGCACAATTCCATCAACATCATAAGTCACAATCAATATCACCCTGATATTTGATCTTGATTGATGTTCTGTTGTTTTGCACAGGAGGACTGAATGATTTCCACTGGAAACTCTGAACCTTAGTCTCAGGATCATGACAGTAGTCCTAACTTCATCTCCTGCAATGGCACTTCTTAAAAAGCTGGAATCTAAGCATCACAACTGAGCGACCCCAATGAAGTGTGTTGTCTGTGACCCAGGATTGAAGGCACACTTCCAAACACACCTTCTCTCAGCCATAGGGCACAGCGGACTCACTGCACAGAACAAGTGAAAACTTGCTGCACACTGATACTGAAGTTCAGTGCCTCACTTTTCAAATTGAAGGTCCCTGCTTTCCTGGTGGATGACAGCTAGCAGCAGCATTTACTGTATTTTGTGTTCCATAGACACCATAGAGAGAATAAATATTATTTGATTTTGTTCAGATTTGGTTCTTTATAAATACAAATTTAAATACACTTATTTAGTCTAGGTTTTATTCAGAGCAACTGTCAAACACAGTTTTATGGATCATGAGCCACTGGTTCTTATGTCATTAACAGTAGAGTGCTTCCAACTGAATGGAGGGCTCTCAGTCAGCGCTTCGTAAAGGTTCCTCAGCTACTCGTAGTTCACTTGTATTCCTAACGTTTACGTAATCTTAACAAGTAGCCCATGTCGAATGTAGCAGTAAATATTGTTATGATGCTTTTGAATGAGAACAAATAGGTAGAGCCTAATAGATTTAGCAAATAATGTACATGGGTTGCAATCTATAATACAGCATGCTGACTTCAATAAAAGCTCAGATATTGACTGACCCTTCCAACTTGTCATTAGTCACTAATTGGGAACCTATTTTGACCAGTACACTTTACTGATTTTTAAAAATAAAAAAATAGTGAGAACATTTCATAAAGCACTTGTTTCCTAGTCATGAAGCAAGTCAGTTATGTCATGAAAAAATTAATTTTGAGTAAATGATCAATACTTGTACTAGAAAAAAATCGGTAGGATTGAAAGTTACTAAATATAAATTTTATTAATTATTAAATCGAGTTTTATGAGTAGAAAACTCTGTAAAGCAACAATGGAGTGGTGACTGGGCAAGTTATTATTTATTTTCCTAAACATGTAAATTAATTAAAGATTGTAGAGGACTGAGTTTTGACTTTTCATTATGATCTGATAAAAGTCTTCTGAGCTTCTGATAGAGCTGAATTCAAATCATATTACCAATTCTAACTTTGTAAATGTATCTTCTTTGAGTTGTATTGTCTTCATCTGTAAATTAGAATTAAAATTTACACAGTGGGAATCTTGGGGTATTAAATTATGTGTAGAAAAATGAAATACCTTTTGAATCAATGTTACTCTGTGTATGTAATCCTTTAATATCATTTTGCCCTCCTTCTTTTATTCCTGTGGTGAAACTGGATGTAATCCTAAGTCTGTATTTGCTAAACATAAAGTAGACTAATTTTGTTTACTATTTTCCCTTTTGGCCCACTTTCGTAATTACTTAGGCCCGAGAGAGTACATCTGGGCACCTCAAATCAGGTCCTGGGGGGTATGGGAAGCAGGAGGTGCAGTCTTCTCTATCCTGGAATCGGGACTCGGGGTCATAGTGAAGGTCAGGGCAAGTCAGCAAAGACCACAGAGCAGGCAAATGAACAAAGACCCGGGAAAGGGTCAGGTATGTGGACAGCTTCCAGGGCTGGGCCCGAGGGAGGAGCCTGGCTTGCTTTGCAGGGTTGGATGGGGTGTGATTACCTAAGCCCATCTGACTTGGGAGCAAAGTGATAGAATGAATTTTGCCTTTATGAAAACAGGATGCCCAACATATCTCCTCCGTCTTACTACTAATTTCTACACTATAAAGTTAACTTCTAAAGAACTGAAAATAAAGCTCAGTAAAAAAAAGTGCTAACAGTGAAAAATAAGCTGTGGTTTGTGTATGCATACATGCATATGTGTGTGTGTGTGTGTGTGTGTATTTATACACTGCATATATGCCATTATCTATATTCTTTCACCAATCTAAATGCGTCTGCCATTGCATTTATGTCTCTATAATTATATGACCTTCTATGTTAGGGCAATTAGATGCAATTACTCACAGTTGCTTGACATTCTCATATGCTTTCCATATCAAATCCACACTTCCACCTCTCTCTACTCCTGCTTGATATACAGTTTTTTGGTTCCCCTCTTGTTTTCTCCTAGATGAGCTTTTATTTCTTCTTCAAAATTTAGCTCGACAGCACTTATAAATAATCCCACAGTACTCATTGCCAAATCTGTTTTGCTTGGCATAGTATGAGCTCAAAACGTATTAGATGGCAGGTCAGTTGTTATGTCACTGTATAGACGACAGTAAAGGGCAGATACTAAACATATCTGCAGCGAAATCGACTTGAAGTAAAGAATTCCCTTGATGTGAAGTACGGTACCTGGATTGAATTCCCAGAAGGTACAAAAAGCTTCTGCACCCCCAGAGAAGAAGGGCATCTGGGATTGTATCTATGGAACCACTTCTATTGTATCTAAGAAAGAATGTGTGGCATGTAGCCATTGACTGCCCTGGTGACTTGTTCTGGAAAGACATGGCTATGTATTGTGTTTATGTGGTACCAAAGGCAGTAGAGAATGATTTCCCGAAATCTTGCATCATTCTGTATTTTCTTAAGTTTGAAGAGGAGGAAAATGTGACAACTATTTATATAAATGATAATCAGAGCACAAACTGTTGATGAAGAACATAGGTGCTTAGTTATTCAAAAAATTTACATGTGATTTTAGTCTAATACTGAATATAAAGTAGCTTAAATCAAGATTCAGTAAGATCCTTTATCAATAACATGAAAATTTTTAAAAAGTGTCTGGAAAACAAAACCTTCATTCTAATTAAACATTAGACTTTAAAAATTAAAAAGACAGCCTTAGATTTCATTTTAAGACCCAGAAAGGAAAAGAAAAAATCATATTCCTTGGGCTATATGTAGTATTTATGTGGTGTACTGAATTAAGTCAGATATTTACTTGTCACTAATTGCTTCACTTTGGATTAATTTAATGCTCTGAAAAATAGCCTACCTTAATTAGTTTAAAATACAACAAAATCACAGAGGAAAAAACCCTGATGATCCATGCCTGTGATCCTGGAAATCAGGAGGCTGAAGCAGGAGGACTGCCAGAAGTTTGAGGGAATAGTAAGTAGAACACCAGCCTGGACTATGTAGCAAAGCCCAATCCTGATCTTGAAAAGCAAAGAAAGAAAGATAGAAATAATAAACAATTAATAAATTAAATAAAACAGAGCAAAATCATAATTTTGTTTCCGGCTCACACACTTTCGTTTTTCCGTGTTTTTCAGGTTTATTCCCTGCTGTCCTGAATCTTGCTTCCAATGCACTCATCATGACCAATGCCACGTGCGGTGAAAGAGGACCTGAAATGTACTGCAAGCTGGTAGAACATGTCCCTGGGCAGCCCGTGCGCAACCCCCAGTGTCGGATCTGCAATCAAAACAGCAGCAGTCCACACCGTACGTATTTTACATGGATTTATATGGCACTGGGTGGGATCTACAACGGAGAGATTTGGGCACAAGTTGCACTAGGTCCAGAGAGCTTGCAATCCCAAGAATTTCTAGAACTTTTCTTTCATTGAGTGTCTTCGCGATCCCACGGTCATTCAGCAAATGTTTCATGTTGGAGTCGCTTATCTGTACCAGGCGCAATGGTCGGAGAGGATTGTCCACCTGAAGGCCTGTGGCAGCCTCTGGATTTACTGTCTCCAGGAAGGGCATTTAAAGATGTGGTTATTCACCCGGGCTTCAGTTGTCCTTGGTTGTTTATGTGCTAGGTCCTGTGCTTGAGATCCAAGAGGCATAGGCTTGGTTCTTGGCATCCATGAGGCAACCAATAGGCAAGATGTTGCCTCTTGCTCTCTCACGCGGCAGGTTCACAGGAAAGAATGAGCACAGGCTCCTGCAGAAGGGAGAGGAAGTTCACAGATTCAGTCCTGGTGGAAGCGAAGGCTCACCGGAAGTTAGAACCAAGTTGGCAACCGTGGATGAGTAGCAGTAAAGCAAGGAAGGGGGTGAGGGAGGGAAATAGAAGAAGGAACCTTAGGAAGACTGATCAGAATAGACATAAACCTTACTCTGGGAGCTAGAGTCAATTCAAATGGACTAGAACTAAAATTGAAAGAGGGCAAGCAGAGAGAAGACTGTAGTGGCAAAGGATGGACACATTGTGGAGGCTCCTGTAAGTCATAGGAGTGTTTTAAGGAGAAACTCCATGCAAAGACATTTGCCTGCCTCTGTGAAGCACACGGAAAATTTAGACTTACTCATGAATTCATTCAGTATTAAGTGATAGGTAGCATGTAGATTCTATGTAAATGACGAGGTCATCAAAGGATTCCTGGAAAAAGGTGCAGCATATGCTGAGAAAGTACAAGTAAATTAGACTAAATAAGGGAAGGCCATTGTAAAAGGAATAGCACGCATAAATCTTGAAAGTTTGAAACAGCAAGACTTATTCAGAGAACTCTATAATTTAATTTAACGTGTAAAGAATTGGAGTGGCCACAGGAAGAATGGTACTAGATAATTTTAGAGGAAGATGTGATATAGAGATATATATTAGAAAATTATTGTATATATTGTCTACCTATATTTATGTATGTAGTTGTATATAGGAAAAAGCTAATAAAGTGAATATTTAATAGCAATTGTGAAAAGTTATAAGAAAAAGACTCATAGTTCATATTGTTTTGAAATTTGCTTACTTTTGCTTTTCTTGCCTTTTCTTTCTTTGATAGAATAATTTTTAGAGAAACAAAATTAAGAAGTTATATGAATTTCCCATATATCCCCCTGTCGCAAGAAATGCACTCTCTCTGCCATTACCAATATGCCCCTCTACAGTGGTAACTTTTCCTTTTTTTTTTTTTCTTTTTTTTTTTTTCTGGTACTGGGAATCGATCTCACAACCTTGCACTTGCCAGGCAGGCACTGTGCTGCTGAGCTAAATCCCCAGCCATACAGTGGTAATTTTTTAACAACTAATAAATCTTTGCTAACATATTATCACCCAAAGTTCATATAAGGGCTCACACTTGGTTGCATAAATCTATGAATTTGGACAGTTATTCTAAAATGTACCCATCATTCTTTTTTTGGTGTTTGTTTTTCTTCCGGTACCAGGAATCGAACTCACAACCTTGAGCTTGCCAGGCAGGCGCTGTGCTGCTGAGCTAAATCCCAGCCCCTCTATCATTCTGGTGTTGTGCAGCAAAGTTTCTTAACTTCTTAAATTTTAAAATGTATAAAATGAAGAAAAGTTTCTCTCAAAATTTGCATGTTTCAGTTACCTAAAGAAAGCTGGAAGCATTGTGGAGTTTTCTTAGAGCCAGGTAAGAGGAACAAGGCATAATATTCTCTATTGTGATTAATTTAGGGACACAGAAGTTAAAATGTTTGAAGACACTCTATTAATAATATTAATAGATTGATACTTTTATGCTTAACTTGATAGTGTTGTATATCATTGAATGTTGGCAAAAAATTAAGACACCTAAGAAGGCCACTGTCCCACTGTCATAAACCTGTGTTAATGACCGGTTAATGTCAAGTAGGTCAGCATAGGAAATAAATTCCGTGTTTTGTTATTTCTTATATGGAATCATAAGAGCAAAGGACCTGTGTCAGGGCCCTGGGAAATATTACAAGTTAAGGAGAATTGTCAAGTGGAATCCAGGAAGAGAGTGAAGAAAAAAAGTATTCAGCAAAAGATACCAGAACCAGGCATGATGTATGTGAGGAAAGAAAGAATTTCAAGGAAGAGTAACTGCCACTGTTAACTGCTTATGGGGAGCAAGACACATATATTATGGGTTTCCCTTGAATTAGACACCATGGGAATCTATGGTCACCTTGTTAAAGAGTTGAAAAACTAATATTAAAGTAGGAGAAGGAACGTTGTATAGAAATATTCACTCAAGGATCTTTGGTGCAAAGAGAATAGAGGATATTGGCAAAGGAGAATGTGGTGCTGGGAAGGTTTTTGACAGGCGGCTTGAGCAGGTTTGGATGCTGAGGGGAAAGCCCAACACAATGGAAGACAAAGTGTTCATGGAGGTGACATTTCCTTTGAGGTAAAAATAGGTGAACCATTAAGTGTAGGTTAAGAAATAGCTTAAATTGGGGGCTGGGGATTTAGCTCAGCGGCGAAAGCACCTGCCTGGCAAGCGCAAGGTCATGAGTTTGATTCCTGGTACTGGAAGAAAAGACAAAAGAAGACAAAAAAAAAAAAGAAATAGCTTAAATTATGAGATTCATAACTTTTAACTGAAAAGATCAGAAATAAGGAAGAGGATGTAGACCAAAAAAGAGAGTAATTGGTAAGAAATTATTCAATCATCTAGACTTCTTTATTAAGCTGTTATCTTGGTTACTTTTCTCTCATTGCTAAGACAAAATACCTTACACCCTGAATTAAGGAAGGAGGGGTTTATTTAGCTCACAGTTTGTGGAGGTTTCAGTCCATACTCAGCTGGCTCCAAGGCAGAGTGGCACATGGCAAAGGGCAACAGTTCATGGTGGTGGAAAAACAGCAAAAGCCACAAGAGCAAAAGTCAGGAGCAGGAAGGAAGCCTCTTTTCCTCCTTTACATTGTGTGCAAACTACCCACCCCAGGGTGGGTGTAACACTCATGTCCATAATTCCAACATTGGACCATGAATCAATCATAAACTACAGAAGCTTCCCCATGACTGCATGAGGCTTTTGCGGGGGACACCCAGACACAAACCATAACAGTTGTGAGTCTGGGTTATTTGCTCAAGGAACGAAACAGAAACCTAGATTAGCTTTTTAGGGGAGGAGAAAGAGAAACCTGAGCTATGCAAAAGCAAGGTGAATGTTCCATGTAGAGTAGACTAGAGGGAGAAAATATCTGGACTGATCCTCATGGCATATTTCAGAGAAAGTGGAATAAGGTGACAAGAAAATTGGAGCAAGACCAGGAAAGAAATCAGTTGATAGATCTGAGTTTAGATTCATTAGAGAAGAAGGATGGAGAGAAGGAGAGAAGGATGGAGATTCATTAGAGAAGAAGGATGGAGAGAAACTGCCAGTTCAAGGACTGGCAGAATTAATGATTTCTAGCATGACACAGGAGTAGGGGAGTGGTGGGTTGGGAGGTGGGGGAAATGTGTAGCTGTAGATGGATAGGAGGAGAGGGAGAATAGAAACAGCAAAATATATTGAATAATAAATGCACATGCATATACCATATATGTTTATAATGTTATAAACATTAAACAAATGTTAAATATGATCATGTATATTATAAAATGTTATAATATGAGTATATATTATATAAATATACACATATATGTAAATATATTTATATTTATACAAGAAAGGAGGGAAGGAAGGAAATGTATGCTATCACAGAGTCGGACAGAATAATGCAAGATTGGAATGGAAATAATAAAGTGAAGACTTCTGTTTGAAAAAACAGATAAGATGCACTTGTCAAATTGAGTCAAAGGCCCATTCTTTCAGTTATTCCCTTCAAAGTTCTGAATTTAGCATCTGTTGCTACTCAGTGGGAGGTATGTATATGCATAATCCCACCTCATGTAATTATATTGAAGACTGTGTCCATTAATCTTGCTTGTTAATTTGATTGATTTAGACACTCCCAGTGGTGTGATTGGCTGTGAGGATACTCGGCTCTCTTATAGGTTAACCCATTGATAAGCTCATAACTCAGTAGGCTTTTAAGAGGGGGGCCTAGTTAGGGGAAGTGGGTCATAGAAGCATGACCTTGGGGATTATGCCTTGTCCTTGCCCTGCTGCCTTCTGGTTCTCTCCAATGTACTCTGCTTCTTGGCCACCATAACCTGAGCATTGTTCCTCCATCACACCCTTCTTCAGTGATGTCTCTGCCTTAAGGTCAGTCCACCATGGACTAAAGCCCCTGAAATCATGAGCCTCAATAGCCTCTTTTCCTTTATGTTATAAGCATCAACTCTTTTGTCCCTGCAATAGGAAAGATCAATACAAATACAGAGTGAATCAATTGTGTCACTAAAACATGATGCATATGAAGATTGGTGTCATTTCCCCCTTTTGTATACTTACAGTGTTTTTTAAGCTGGTCAAGCCTCAGTTTGCTTTATTTTTAAATGATCTGGTTCATTAAATTTCAAAATCATGTATAGTCACTGAAAACCTAGAAGGAATAGAACCCCACAATAATTAAAATTCAGCAGTAAACCACTTGAAAGTATTTTCATAAAAACTGGAGCAATAGAGAATAAAAAGTCTGCAAATTTAATGAACTTGTAGAATACATCTGGAGGAGCTGCCCTGAATTACTACAGAAAATGATGAAACTTGAACTTCTGACTGTCAAGAGATTGTGCTTCCCGATAAAAACCGGCAGTATGAGGGGTTTACCTCACTGATTCCCTAGCCAGTTTTCAGTCATAGCTGCCCTTGGGCTGACTTGTGTAGTTCATCCCTGTTGTGAATATTATGCATTTCTCTCCCCTTTTAAATATGGGAACTCTGCCAACAATTAGTATGTGCAAATTAATTATGATTACATTTTTATAATGGGGATTATGGTTAATTGTTGATTCATCTCCCTATTCTCCTTTTCATGACTAATTCTCATATCAATTTGACCTGAGGTGGCAGATATCAACTTTTCCAATTAGCTCCTCTCACAGTTTCCTACAAGCCTTGAATCCACTTGGTAATGTGATTGTGTGTGTGTGTGTGTGTGTATACATGTGTGTGTTTTTATCATATGTTAAACCTGCAAACTGTGTGGAAGATTTAGAAAAATGTCTGGGGAGTTTTCCTGTGACATTTACTTTTTTCATAAGTGACTCCAGCAATATTTCACTTATTATTCTGACTCCTAATGTGCCAGTTTCAGCACCCACTCACCCAAACAGGGGCATTTTTTTTATATTTAGTTATGCACTTGGTATTTGCTGTATGTATAAAGATAACACTTTCCTAACTTAAACAGAATGTATCTAGCACTAATTATTAAATATATTCATCAACTTCACTTTTCAAAATGAGACTGGATGCCTCATCCCAGTGAGCTGTTGGTGAGATAAGACTTAATATAAAATAAGTTGTGTCCAGCTGTTTTGCATTATTAAATTAAAATTTTACCAATAAAAATGAAATGTTACCTTGTCTTATGCACTCATGTCAAGATTTAGGTTTAAATATCATACCATAAGTCAGTCAACAATACAGTTTTTATATAGTTAGTTGTAGGCTATAAGACATTATTTAAATGAAATTAATATATAATAAAAATTTCACATATCTAAAATGGCAAACCTATTGAATGTTCAATTTGTCATAAAACATTTTCTCTTAAAGATAATTTTATTTTACTATCAGACTCGTTGCATGGGGAATTTAGCTTCACTTGATTTTTATTATTTTCAAAACTTTTATTCAGTGTAAATTTTCTCTAGTTGTGATTCAGAATGGTGTACAACTTGAGCAGATATATAATTTATTTTGCATGTATGCATAGTAATGTTTAGATTGTTAATAGTTTCAATATTCTTTGTTAACCCTATGAGTAAAGGGATCCCATTCAAAGATGTTTTTGCTGGTCAGTGGCAAATAAAATAAATGAGAACAGCATTCTACATTTTAAATGTAAATTAAAAGGATTTATGTCAAACAAATGTCCTTTATTCCAACATTATGTTTAAAAAAAACCTCATGTTGGATTCTAAATGTGCATTAATTTTTGATTTATAACATGCTATATTAAATGGTAGTAAAAGTAGATCTAGGGTTACTCTTACTAGAGAAAACAATTTCACAAATCTCTGTCATGCATTTTGCTGCAGTCTTAAGCTTCTTCAAGTTAGGCATCTAGACAGCACTGCTTGAGGTGGAGTTTTCTTCTTCCTGTGTCTAGGACGTCACAGAATTTAAAGAATTGGACCTTGGTCAGTTAAGTACTAAATGGTAGAAGGAGGTTGCTTCTTACCTGCCAATCCTCATAGTTCAAATTTTGTGGAAGGGGACAAAAAAAGAGTTAATATGTGCTGTGTACTTATACCATGAATATAATAATTGGGTACTATAAACATGTATTAATAAACAAATTATATGTCATTTAATTCTTAGACTCTATTGTCATCAATCAAATATATGTCTGGATTACTGAATTATGTAGGGAAATTGAGAGGCGGTCATGGCTCTTCTCCGTGATGTGATTTATTCATTATTTGAGGCATTTTTTAAAATTATAAAACAGCATTGTGTCCTAACCCAAAAGGTTAGTCATAGACCATTCCTTTGAAAAAATTTTTCCCGGGAATTAATTTTGTACAAGTTCTCAGGATTGACACTCTAAAGCATAAACCATAATTAGCAGATGACACCAGGGAAGCTCAGCTCTACATGGTTTGCATGCCTAAGAGCAAATGTGCTAACTTTCAAATGAGCTGTAAAGAACTTGGATGCCCTTTTCAGGACAGCTCAGGGAGCAGTAGAGACATCAACAACAACCTCCGTTCCAGCCATGCTCTCCCATCTGGAGGCTGTGCCTGTTGAGACTGAGAGGAGGAGGAAAGAAACAGAACTGTGTTGCTTGAAAAGGAGAAACAAAGATTTGGGACGTCAGTCAATGAGGGGGAACTGAAAGTTATGGTGCTGTTGAGAGACAGGTGGAACTGAATTGGAGGAGAGGGGAATCTCTGCCTTCTGAGGCTTGTGGAAAGGACAGGCACCTTAGCAAGGGACGCTAGGGTTCTTTGTGTTTGTCCATTCACACTTTTCTATCTCCCGTCTCCCTTTTAAATCTTACAATACGTTCTCTTCTCACCTTTTGGGAAGATAGGAGAGAGGACCTGTGGGGTTTTTATTATTGTTGTTCTTTTGTAGGGTGGAGTTTTTTTTAATTTTCCTTGCTTGCTTGTCACTATTGTCTAGATACTTTCACATTCTAGACTTATTGATTATGGGGCTAGGCAAATCCTGGATAGGAGCCTCAGGGTATCTTTCATTGTATTTTAAAATAGTATTGGAAAAATAGCAAGTTAAAGACTTATTGGGAAAAAAGTCCCATAGGAGGCATGTGACAGCATTTTATATTAAAACCAGATACCTATTGGATTGCCCAAGTCTTGGTAATAAAAAATGTGTCACAAGAGCAAATCTTCACGTACATTTCAACTACCATTCAGGATGCTATGTTTCTGTTAACAAAGTTGATGGCATACTAGAGCTGTCTCAGAAAAGATTTTGCTTTTAGGAATGATTGACACATCAATTGGGTTTCAATATTATTTCTTCACACTTAATTTCTGTACTTATCTTTAAAGTTGCCCAATTTACTTGATGGTTGGGAGCCTGAGTGTTTTGCTATTTCCTACTACAGTGTGTAAGACTCTAAAAAGTTGTCATTAAAAGAAATTCAGTTGAATATATGAATTGCTCTCTTATTAATGTTTGATAGCCACAGGAGGATTGTTTTAACTCAGTTTTGCTTTTCTTCTTTACAGAAGCAACTATAAACTAATCCTATGATTCTTTCTCCTCCTTTTCCACTCTGCTGCTGCCTTGATAGAGAGACACCCGATTACAAATGCTATCGACGGCAAGAACACTTGGTGGCAGAGCCCCAGTATAAAGAATGGAATCGAATACCATTACGTGACAATTACACTGGACTTGCAGCAGGTATAGTCCTCTTCCCATTCTCCACTTTTGAAATTGTATCTTGCATTTGTTATTTGTTTATTCAGTCGCTTCCAGTTGAGAAGATACACTTTTTTATCACCCTCACTTAGTTTTCTTGATATCACAAACAAAGCATCCTTTGTTGAGGACATAATCAGTTAGGAATATTTTGCACTTCTTTCCAAAATACAAGGAAAGTGCATCTATGTGAATGGTTTAGAAATTAACTTGGAGCTTAATCTACATGAAGTATTTGGAGTTAATGATGAAAATAAGGATAAACAAAATTTTATAGAAAGAAGAGAGTGCCATTTTTAACTGCTGAAACATTGCAGTGTTCCCACTCTGCTGATGGTGTGTGCTCTTAAAGGTTCTTGGATAACAAGGCTCTTGAGTAAATTGCCTCTCATTACTGAGTTGAGCAAGCTGTGACAGTTGAGTCTCAAATTAAACTTGGGCCACTAAACAAGGCAACAAGCCTTGTAGTTACATAAAATTGATGCTGGAAGTCAGAGTTTGTGTTGCACAGCCCTGCCTGCTTTCTATGCTTAATTTTCTTCTTTTTGTTCATAATGGTCAGGCCAGGCTGCAGTTATTCATCAAGCATCAACATCACCCCAAATTATTTAGACCTAGAAGTAGATTTGGGGTAGCACTTGAAAAAAATGTTCCCATATTTTGTAGTTATTCCAAATATGAAGTTTAATTGACCAAAGGCTGAGACTGGCAACACTGAAATTAGATGAGCTCTTGATTCGGCCTGTTTCTCCTTCATGCTCTGGTATCTATATAGGAAAGACCCTCAGCCACCCTGGACCACTGTGGAGACAGAGCAACAAGAGTGTTTAGAACTGGGCAAGGGGAACAAACAAGACAATGACATATCTCATACTGGGGAAGTCATGGCTTTCAAAGGTTGTCATAGTATGGAGAAGCACCAATCAGTGACCCCAGACACAGGAGAACAACCTCCCTCCTTCAGGTTTTGGACTGTTTTGATGAGAACCGGAGACAGCCGGTTGGAGAGTAAGCAAGCTGGGCTCCTCAGGGCCTCAGAAACTGGGTGTCATAAAGTGCTCAGGGCTGCAGCTAAATACCAAGTTGTATGGATTTATTTCCAGCTATACTGATGTATGGCAGCTTAATGTCAATCCAGAGTTAATGAAATTCCCCAGGAAGTCTCAGCGCATTGTTGGGGAATGACGAAGCAAACTACCACACTGATCAATCATGCTTTAGGTCAATTAATCCTATGCATGGATTCCCTGGAGATCCCAGCCTCAAGATGGACTTTATCCCTACTGCATAGAGGCAGCTCGGTCCCTTATCGATCACAGCGGTTCTCTCCTTTCACGTGATCATTGCAAGCCTGCCTTTCCAATCAAGAGCGAGTCTGCTGTCCATCGACTTAGGTCATCTCCTGGGATAGGGAATCAATAAATAGTGATGGTTTATCGCTCCGGTTTACTCTCTACTTATTCTTTTAGACTGTGCATGAAGCCAGAGAATCAATTATTAATATAATTTGCACAAATCACTTAAGCTACCCTTTGAGCTTGACCACAATATTATTTATTTGTTATCAAACATTGCAGGATATTTTCTTGCTAATTTACAGCTGGGCAGTGCAATCAGAAGACTTTGGTAAATCATTTCATTCTGACTTGCCTGCCATGAATTTGGTAAGTCACAGAGCTCACCTGAAAGGCCATTTTTTTTTTTTTTCAGGAAAGACAGTTATAGTTTCCTAAATTGGTTTTGCATCCTCATGCATCCATTCCTACCTAGTATCTTAAAAATTATATGGATTTGTTTTTCTGTTTTATCTTCCTCTCATACAGTGTAACAGCCTTAAGATGAGTGAATATTCTAGGGCATCTTTTATAGTTCAGTCATCATGATGAGTGGTAGTGTTCTGTCCAGAATGAAGGTTTCCATGATGCATGTGTCTGGAATATGCCAGATGGAATGCTATGTAGTTTAGTCAAAGGTATTGTATTCTAGGTTAGTGTCCAGCCATATCCGTATTTAATTTAGACTTCACCTCCTTCTTGCAAATCAGCCTACCATGTGCTTAAAATAAGATCAACACATCATCTATACAGTGGAATAGATTCTTACTTCTACTTGACTCAGGATTTCAATTCAGTGAATTATTCAATGATATATGAACTCAAGCAGGTTTTATAAGAAGATTTTGTGATGGAATTTGTCAGACCAAAAAGGGCTTCACACTTCCGATTTAGCCTCCGGTTTTGGAATAATAAACGGTGGACACACTTCTTCAGCTATGCAGCAAGTCTATAGGAAGGGATATTCTAATATTTTAGCAACAGATAATATGGACATCCTTTGTGATGCTACTCACATCACGCAATAATCCTGTAAGGCAGCTAGCACTGTAATTCTTATTTAGTAGCTGATGAACATCGAGTGTAAGTTAAGTGACCTGGTCCTCTTTACAAAACTTAGTACAGGTAAGGATGAATTTCAGCCTCAACAGTATGAATCCAAAACTCAAACTATGCCAATATTTTCTAACAGGAATTGTAGGGAGCTTATGAGAACTTTTTACACTATATTTTTGACGGGTCCATACATGGTTTGGGTTAAAGAAATACCTCATCATAGTTTCTTTCTTTCTGCGGAGAATATAACCAACATACGCATTGTCATGAAATAAGACTAGATCTTTCCTTTTCTAGTACACAGTGCTAGGCCTCTAAAACAGCATCACTTCTGTCTTTCTACTTACAGCATGAAAAATTAAGAGGTTATTCAGCATTATGAGGTATAATCTGGCCGTGAGTCAAGGGAAGTAATCCTGTCAGGAAAACGCAAATATCACCAAATGTGTGTTTGTCATTGATGCAGTAAGAGGTTTAACCATCTATTAGTTCTCCTCTTCATTTTGAGATGTATGATATTTGACTTGTGCAAGTCTTTTTGTTGATATATACTTAATTCATCTACTTTTAATTAATTACTACTTTAAATATAAACAATAATCATTAGATTATCTTGATTAAATCATCACAGATTATACTGGAAAATTTCTTTCCCATCTTATCACTCAAAATAAGCACTAGGAAAATATCTTTTTCTAGAGGAAAGTAGTTCTTTGTTTTGTAAGCAGATTGTTCTTAGGCATTTATTGCTAAGAGATTATTAACTTCTCCAGATTCTATTTACTCAAACATATCTTGAATAGATGATTTAATCATGCTGTGTGCCTCACTATCTAGATGAACAGAATAAATATCATAATGTCATGGCAAGTAATTTGAAATAATGATAATAGCAGTATAATAACTAAATTCCATCTGGCAATTATGGCCATTACTGGGACCTAAAATCAACATAAACTTAAATAGAAGTTTAAATGTTCTAGTGATATACACACAAAAAGCCAATAACATGGCACGCAAAAACAAGTGGCAATTTAAAAGAATAACAGAGACTCAAAAAATAGTAAAATGTCCCAAACTTTCTATTTTAATCTTTGTCCAACAAGATATTATGAGAATAGCATGGCATTTTATATTATTTTATGAAATTTTTAATATGGACTTTTTTGTTTGTTTGTTTTGGTTTTGGTTTTTTTCCAGTACCGGGAATCAAACTCACAACCTTGCACTTGCGAGGCAGGTGCTGTGCCACTGAGCTAAATCCCCAGCCCCTAATATGGACATTTTCTCAGTCCTGACTTTTGATTTGTTTAGGGGGAAAGCTGATTGGTATAAGACAGAAAGCACAGAGAAAGAGCTTTTTCAGTAGACTTTGTAAACAAATTTTGAAGCAATAGTCACGCCTGGATAATCCGGGAGTGCTGTGGAATTAGTTACACTTATGTGTAGTAATATTTTCCAGTTTAAAGAAGTCCACTTCTATTCCTGAGTCCTAAACATACTTTTATTAAATAAGATTTTCTTAGAGTCAGAGGAAATATACCACATGTCCTTAATGTAATTGTTTCATCCAATGGTAGAGACATATTTAGTGGAGTGTGTTAACAATTTTAAAAAATAATTATATTTAGAAGGAGGATGAATTAGCATTTCTATATACATATTAATATACTTTTACAATCTATATGGTTAGCATAGACAATATTTTTCTTAATGACTGAATGATTAATATAGTGGTTGAACCTATATCTAATGAAACAGCATGAAATACATTGAAGTATTTCATCTTTCATTTAAATGTAGAGTGTTTTTTTATACTGAAAGCTCATTGTTCTCTCACATAAAATTTTATTTTTTTCCACATTCTTCTTTACTTATTCCTATAGAAAGAATCTGTTGTTGAAGTTCAATTTTTAGACTATTTTATAATACTTGTTATTAAACAAATTGCTGCTGAATGAGTAATGTGTCAAGAAAACAAATTAAGAAGGACTTTAAAAATATATCTTGAAATAAACAAAAATGAACAATGTTACATTGTACCAAAATTTAGGAAATACAGCAAAAAATTTCTAAGAAGAAAATTAATAACAGTAAGCATCTGCATCAAAACAATTAAAATTTTCAAATAAACAACCCACTAACACGTGGTGTGATATTTTATATACAAAAAAACCTTAAGAAAAATATGTGAGAACTAATAAATTTAGCATAGATGCAAGTTACAAAATTGACGTAAAACGTCAGTAGCATTTTTATATACTATCAATGAATTTGAAATAAAGATATCAAGAGAAAATCATTTGCAATAAAACAAAACGTTATAAATAAGTTAACCAAGTCTATATACTAACTACATGAAACATAAATAAAAGTGAAAAAATGTAAATAAATGGCAACTACCATGTTCAGAGATTGAAAAAAATATATTATGAAATTGCCCATGCTTTAGCCCAAGATCGCTGTTAAAATTCCAATGATATTTTTATAAGAAAAAAATTCTCAAGCTTCTATGAAACTACAAAAGACACTGAATAGTCCAAGCATTGTTGAGCACAAAGAGCAAGGAAGCAGCCATTATACTATTCGACT